TGCTAGTTCTGGGCATAAATATTCTTTAGCATATATAGCAACACATTTTTTTTGTCTTTGCTCTATATTGGTATCTTGTTAAGATTTGAGATGGTATAAAACTCAGGCTTTTATTTCCTTTAGGTTTACTTTTCTTTTCTGTTTCTTCCACTTTTGCATCATTGGTTTCTTCCTCAGTCTCACTAGTCTCTTCTTCTTCTTCTTCTCCTTCTCCTTGCCAACCTAGGTTTTCACTGTTTCTTTCTCAAAAATCTTTAATCTTAAATGTTGAACATTTAACATAGACAAATTTCCCACAAGCAGCTGTGCCGCCCTCACTGTTCCCTTTCCCCCAATTGTATTCGTCAATTTCCCACGACTTGCTGCGCGGCCGCATTTTGACCCACAGCATCCCATGATTTTCCCCGCGTCTTCTAGATCCTTGTTCTTTGAGATTGAGAAGATGCATGGAAAATCGGAGGATGCTGGGGGTCAAAATGCGGCCGCGCAGCAAGTAGTGGGAAATTGACGAATACAATCGGGGAAAAGGGAAGAGTGAGGGCGGTGCAGCTGCTTGTGGGAAATCGGTCATAATCTCCAGTGTCTGGCAGCGGTAGCAGCCTGGACAAAGACCAGATTATTCAGATTGTTTCCTGATAAAACAGGATGGTACCAATATATATAAAAGGGCATACAGACAAAAATTGGGGATTGTCATTACATCATTAAGTTGTTTATTTAGTTACCTCATACAATGTCCAATTATATTTTTATTTGTTCTACCTTGTACTTTTATATAAATCTTTTGCATATGATTAAAAATATAGTTCGTATTTGCTTCTGGATCTGTTGTATGTTGATATATTTTATTTGTTGTATTCTTCAATCCATGTGTAAAATCTTAACCATGTGTTCTCAAAGCTTCCTTCAGTTTGTTCTCTTAACATTAAAGTTAATTTGTCCATCTCTGCCATTTCAAACATTTTATTTATAGTTTCTTCTCTTGAAGGTACCTCATTTCTTTTCCAATATTTAGCGCATACTGGTGACAGCCCAGCCTGTGCCTCCAGGCAATCTGGGCAAGGGGGTGCATATAGATGTTAAATAACATCAGGGAGAGAACAGCCCCTTGTGGCACTCCACAAACCAGTGGGTGCTTTTGGGACAACTGCTCCCCTAGCACCACCCTCTATCCCCGACCTTGTAGGAAAGAGGAGAGCCACTGCAAGGCAGACCCCTGAATCCCAGCGTTGGCAAGGTGGTGGATCAGTAACTGGTGGTCACCCATGTCAGATGCTGAGAACAGGTCTAACAACAACAGTACTGCCAATCTGCCTTGATGGAGATGCCTTTGGATGTTGTCCATAGGGCAACCAGTGCTGTCTCAGTCCGGTGACCTGAATGAAAGCTGGACTGGAATGGTTCTAGTATATCAGCATCATCCAAGAAACTCTTCAACTGAGTTGCCACCGCTCTCTCAATAATTTGCCCAGATAGGGCAAATTAAATACCGGATGATAGTTTGCCAATTCGGCTGTGTCCAAAGATGATTTCTTTATGAGAGGGTGAACCACTGCTTCCTTAAGTGCCCCAGGGAAACTTCCTTCTGAGAGAGACTTGTTGACAGTCTCCCTTAGGGGATCTTGTAGCCCATCATGGCCAGCTTTAATGAGCCATGATGGGCACGGCTCAAGGCAGCAAGTGGTAGGGCATACAGTTGAGAGTATTCTGTCAACTTCCTCTAGGCTGAGATGATCCCGAAGTGCAACATAACTAAGTATTCAAAACAACATCCAAGCTCCTTGGGGAGTAGTTTCCTTCTGGTACGGCGCTGTGAGCAGGCGCCTCAGGACACTCCCAAGGCGCCTGGTCCTCTTTCGCCCCTTTGGGGCTCCCCAGATGCATGGGTGGGCTCTGGCTGGCTTCCTGGAGGGAGGTCGGGTTGCAGGGAGCTTTTTTCAGCCACTACTGCACTTGGCAAATGCAGGGGTGCTGCCATTTTTGCTCTGAAGCAGGAGTGATTGACGGGGGGGGGCATGGCTCCCATGTTTTTTCTAGCTGCGACCAGCCGTTTTAAAGACCAAATTACTACAACACAACAAACATAAAAGGAAAACAGAGAAGAAAGTGAGTAATCGTATTTGCAACGCTTTGTTTGATGGTTTCAAGTTGTTAAAAACCCCTTTTGAATTGCCCCAAAATACTGGAGGAGTGGCTAATAAAAAGAAAAGGGGCGAAACTGTTATAATTAGAGTGGAGTGGGGGAGAAGAAAAATGGCTTCAGAAAGGAATGTAGAGGACTTGAGGAAACTGAAGAAATTTCTCACCTTACTTGTGAACAATTTGAAAAAAACTGTTAGTGGAAGAGATACAACTTGCGATCAGAGTGGCCTTTAAAGGATTACTGGAGAAATTGCAGAACTCGCCTATTTGAGAGGAAAAAGAGCAGGAATCTAGGGAAGCTGGAGGAGGAAGAAATAGACTCTGAGCTCTCTCAAGGAAATAAACTGCAAGACGGAACATGAAGGTAAAAATGAGCAAGTTATTTGTTTAAATGAAGCAACAAGGAATACTATAGACCCAGAAAGCCAAAAAGAAGTCCACCATAATAAACTTGTAATTGAACAGAGTGAGCCAGCAAAAGGAGGAGAAAAGACGCATACAAAGAAACGTGGGAAGTACTCAAAAAACTGGGAAAGTACTGGAAAGAGACGTTTCTTACTGGTAGGGAAATTGAGAAAGAAAGATATGAAAAAGAAACCCCATACCTACAAAGAAATAAGGAACCTAGATAGAATTCTGGGGGGAAAGGAGACTACATACCTCCCCCTCCCCAATATTGACTGTGGCTTTAGTTAGGATTGTTAATTGCACAATGTAAACCGCTCAGAGCCCTTCGGGGTCGAGCGGTCTAGAAATCGAAAGTATAAATAAATAAATAATAAATAAAATAAATGCTCCTCTACGAGCCCCCACCCAGAGGACTGGATGGAAATTGCCCTGAACCTGGAGCATCTGCAATCTAATACATCAAGGTTAGAGAAGGGGGACCAATGTCAAATAACAGCTAACCTTCCGGGAAGGAATGAGCAAATGATCTGTAAAGCTTGGACAATCTCTCACCAGGCACTGATAACAACTTCAATGAGTAACAAGAGGGAAGAGGATCAAACTGTTAATATTGTACAAAGGAACATTAAGCACCAACGGTCCCCCAGGAGTGAGCAATCTGTTCCTGCTCATACACTTAAAAATGGATGTATAATCCGCAACCCGATGGGTGACTTAGAAACAAATATGATGGAGAATTTACAATTAAAGACGCAAAATACACCCAAAACTATCAACATCTTATCTTGGAACGTAGCTGGCTGGACTAGATTTTAGGCTTTTTTTCCGGCAAAACTATGAGGTTATACTCCAGGAAACCTGGTCTGTAGCTCCTCTTGAATTAGATGGCTATTTTTCATATGTGGTTTAGGCCGTCCCAGGAAGACTAAAAGGGGGCCTGGGCATTCTTATCTCTACCTCCTTAAAAGTTGACTGTTTGGAGTTGTTCCCCTTGGATCAGTTGGCAGTGGCTGTCATTATGACTTGGACTGGGGGCTCTCTGCAGTCTCCTGTACCTGGGTGGGGTTTTTTTTAACCTCAGAATGCTGAGCTCTGCAGCTGACCAGTCAGAGAGTGGTGGGTGCAAGGAGGCAGCAGCCACACAGGAAGCAATGGAGGGAGCACATTTTACCCCTTTTGACCCCCTTAGTGGTTGAATTTCTAAAAATCCCTTCTTAGTGACCATCTATGTCATGGTAGGAGTGTTCTTCCCAAATTTCATGTTTCTAGGACCAGGGTTTTACCTGGGCGTTGATTTTACAGTGAGGGGACTTTCTTTTATATAGATAGATAGATAGATAGATAGATAGATAGATAGATAGATAGATAGATAGATAGATAGATAGATAGATAGATAGATAGATGTGCCAGTGATCACTAATCAACTGAGTTTCACACTGCGATCTCAACAGTGGATGTTGTGTGGAACATCCAATTAGAAAAAAACAAAATGGAGACTGAGCAATGATTCCCTGAGTGAAAGAGGAAAATAAGAAAGATTATCATACCCCCTGCAATGAAGGAATTGTTTGTCCCCTAATTCCTTCCAAAATGAATATGCTCTACTGGCTTGGCAGAGTATGCTTATGAATCTGTCTTGCTGTATTTCTAAGCTATATTTATTAAGTCATAGTTTCATTTTATGTGTTTTTAAGCTGCTTCAGGTTACTGTGCATAAAGAAAAGATACCTTCTTCATAAATTACCCTTGTATAAATATTTTATAATGTTGTGTAAAAGTAAAGGGAGTGTTTTCCAGGTCATCTTAATTTCACAGCAGTCTCATGTTCAAATTCCTGTATATGATAGTGCCTTTTGATTATTCCGCCTCTACTTGTTTATATTTACCAATCAATTCTAACCTAAATTTTATTGTTATCTCAAGGTTTACACTGCAGTTGTTTCAAAGGTATCTGATTCTGTTATTTAACGGATCAGTGTGCTACAGGTTACTTTCAGTAAGTATGGGTTTCCAAATCCATGTCTGCTGAAGGTGCATGCAAGTGGGAAGAAACAGGCTGGCATAAGGAAGAGTAAACTGCCTGTACCCACGGGTTCTCCTTTGCAAATTCCACATTCATGCACACAAACATTTCCCCCCTGCCAGCTTTGGAGCACAGTTGATATAAAAAAATTAATATCAGCAGGATGGGATTTGTAGGGAATAATTGATGAACAGGGAATAGGGTGTAGAGAATAATTGGCATGGGTTAAGCAACTTCCCACTCAACTGATTTCCTTCAAGTGCCCTGTATTGCCTACAATTGCCCAATTTTACTCAACCTGCCAAATGCAAACTTACAACCCAGGTTGATTTCTTCAAATGTCAGTTCATATCATATTTTCACTGTTCTTTAATCACTTGTCTGTGTCTACTTTTTCCTCATGTTGACCTATATTCATTTCTTTCAGATCACATTGACAACAATTGGCTATGGAGACAAAACTCCCCTCACATGGCTAGGAAGGCTGCTTTCTGCGGGGTTTGCACTGCTTGGCATTTCATTCTTTGCACTACCTGCTGTGAGTATTTTTACAATTTTTAAAACTTCACATACTTATCTGACATAATGACAGAAACAATGTTAGCTATATGCCCCCCTCGATTTCTGGAATTATTTATCTATACATCTGATATTGCAAAGATAGCTAATTCAGTCAAAAGTTCAGGGCCTTTTACATTTGCGTTGTAGTATCTGATACAGGATTACCAGTCTATTTAATAGCAGTTTCTCTCAGGATGGCATCATCAATAAAGGTGAGAAAACTCAAATACTATTTACTTATTTATTTTCTTCCTTTATAGCCTGCCTTGCTTGCTGATGCTCAAGGTGTATTACAAAATACAAAATATACAAAACATTTGATCAAACAGCATAAGACTGTGGGGGAGTGAAGAGCCAGGGTTGTCTACAAGAGCAGTGATGCCCTCCAGCATCCTGCCCCTTTGAAGGGAGTCGGCTTCAGAGTGGGCAGAGTCACAGGAAGGAGGGAGAGGGTTCCCAGCACCCTCAGAGTTCTTTCCTTTCCTCTGCTTTTGAAGTCCTCTTAGATACAGTGTGATGCGGTGGCACAAAAGGCTAATTCAGTTTTGGGTTGTAGTAGAAGGGCCATAGCATCGAAATCGTAGGAGGTCATAGCCCCTCTGTATACTGCCTTGGTCAGGCCGCTTCTTGAGTACTGTGTGCAGTTCTGGAGGCCTCACTTCAAAAAGGATGTGGGAAAAATCGAGAGGGTGCAGAAGAGAGACAAGGATGATCAGGCGTCTGGAGACTGAGCCCTACAAGGAAAGGCTATGGGCCTTGGGAATATTTCGTTTGGAGAAGAGGAGACTGAGGGGGTACATGATTGCTCTCTTTAAATATTTGAAAGGCTGTCATTTGGATTCCCTTTGAGCGGCAGGCGCATGCAATGTGGCCAGCCTTCCCGCAACTCCAACATGTTGCATTCCTGAAGCGGCAGGAGTGTCATTTGTGGGGGTCCCTGCACCTGGCACAGAGCATTGGTGAGGCAGTCTCAGTGGTGCAGCCTGGGCGTGAACGTGATTTGTTGGGCCTCTGATTCTGCAGGAGAAGAACCACTAATCATCTTTTTCTTGCCTTCCAGTTCTCACCTCCAAATGACAGTCTCTTAATACCCTTTTGCACTGGCAAAATAGTACTCAGAGTTTGAAAGGATGTTTGCTGAGTAATGTATAGATCTTCTGGCCTCTGATTCTGCAGGAGAAGAACCACTAATCATCTTTTTCTTGCCTTCCAGTTCTCACCTCCAAATGACAGTCTCTTAATACCCTTTTGCACTGGCAAAATAGTACTCAGAGTTTGAAAGGATGTTTGCTGAGTAATGTATAGATCTTCTTCGTGGTCTCTGTGCTTCACACAAATGGGATCTAGTGCGCCTGCGCTGGATCTGCTGGTGCCTAGCAAGCTCTCTTGAAAGGATTTTCGTGCCTGGCCCAACTGAGCATGCTCATGAGCCCCAGTGAGCATGCCCAGAAGGGCAGGCACGGACATCCCGCCAGTTCTTTCCTTACCGCCACGCTGAGCAGACCTTTCTTCGAGAGGTCTGGCCGGATCGCTGTTTTTGGATCACTTTTTTGTGATTAGGTCTAGTTTTTCGCCTCAGTTTTTCTTCAGTTTCTCTTTCTCTTCCTGTTTTTCAAAAAAAAAAGAATTTTTGTTTTTCGTCGTCTGAGGTAAAATTGCCTCAGGCCTTCGGGCCGCTGGCCCCCCCCACCCTCCTTGTCGCTGATCTTTTTCTCCTCAGTCTATGGAGAAGAAGAAGACAAAAAAGTCGAAAAAGTGGGGATTTTTCAACCGTTGTCGTACTTGTGGAAGTAAATTGGCTCCTCCACACGGCCATAAGTACTGTATTTTCTGTCTCGGGGAGACCCACAAGCCAGACTCCTGTGAACATTGTGCTCAGTTTTCCAACCAAACTCGGAAGAACAGAGCGGCACATTTAAGAGTTTTCCTCTTGGAGAAAGCGCTTCAACGGATGGCTGACCCGCCGGTTACTTCCTCCGTCGCCATGTCTTCCGCTACCGACGCATCGACATCGAAGCCGTTGACGTCGAAGGTTAAGTCTGTCTCCGGTACCGAGAGGTCGAAACCGAAACATAAGGTACCGATTGTTCCTTCCGCAGCGTCCACTCCTGTTAAGAAGGCCAGGAAGTCAGATTCCTCAGTGGCGACGCAGAAGGTGGCCAAGGCGGTGAAGCCTGCTAAGAAGGACTCTGTGCCAGC